TATTAGACTTGATTAATTAAAATGACTCCTCCTATATAAACGACGATCAAGACCGCATTGGAATTGAAAAGAGCGGCTAGCCAATTCAAATAATTAAAGGACTCCCTACCTCACAAATTGCGCGCTCCAATCTTCCATCGCAATCCTGCGATAGGCGGCGGGTGCGGCGTGGGCAACGCCGTGTTAGGGGAGAAGTTCCCGGACCCATCATTGCGTATAGATGGTTCCAGTAAGCCGCTTGGTGTAGCGTGGGCGTCCCGGTGCAAACGGTGCAACCTCTACGGCCTCCCCACCAGCGTGATAACTCGTCCGCTTTGACTGGCTACGTAATCTGAGCCGGTATTGGGCCCCTACTACGCCCTATCTGGGCGGTTTTTTCACTGCACAGCGTCCCTTGTGCTGTATTGGGGACACTGGGTCAACCAAGAAAGTAACCTTAGGAACCACTTCTATCATGTACTGTGCATTTAGGTCATTTATGCTCTCCGACAGACCCATGACCCATTCCTGGGCTTTAGGTTGGTAAGATGACTGAACATATCCATTTTTGAGGTGATCACAGTATTTGTGACTTGACTGTGTTCAATAACTGCCAGACCAAAGAATCTTCAAACCTAGAACATCACAAAAGTACAACACGGGGCCGAAACGATCGGAGCAGGGAAACCCTGTAAGGGCATGGCATGGCGGGTCGAGCATCTTCTAGGTAATGACCTTCTTAGGTGGAACTCAACGGCTTTTTCAGTGGAACTCCCCCTTAACTCTGCTGCTCGAAAAGCCTTACCCACACTACACCAAAAAAAATGTAGACGGGATTCGGTGTATATCTGTGCTGCGGCGGCTATAAAATAGCAGGGAGCGATCTATCCTTAACCTTGATCCATGCCTACTCCCTCTCCAGTGTTTAGGTAGTACGCTCCTTTTTTCCTACTTCCCCCTTTCTCGCCTGAGTGCCACCACTTTGTGCGAGGGTGCTTCAAAAGCTAATAAAGCTGCTGTGAACGGGTGCTCGATGTGGACTCAAATGTACTCAGAATACAAAAAAAGTAGGCAGCAGTGTGAACGACATTGCCCTTTCCGCTGGTGCCCTTTGAGGACCTTCCGCTTGATCCTATAATGCAAAACGCATAGCACCCGGCAAATGACGTTTCACGAAGAACCAGACCAATTCAAATCCATCCTACCTTTTGAGAAATGGTGGAAGAAAGTGAACGGCGGTATGTTAGAGAAGTGTCTCGAGATTCCAGGATCCCCTTGAGCAGCTCTACTCATCTGTTCCCGAGAAGCACAGAGGAAATGGTCTTTTGAAATTTCCCCTAAGGCAAAGATTACCTCAGATTCAGATTAGAAGTCACGCTTCAGAGCTTAGAAAAAGTGTGAATAAGTGGTGTGATAGCATTTCATGAGTGAAAACAGCGGTTACCTTTCCTGTGTTATATCTTTGCACAAAGGGGTTTGTTTGACTTTGCAAGTGCTGTTACTTTTGACAAACACGTCTTCCAGTGCAAAATAAATCAGTAATGTTGAATGCATGGATTCAATATTGCTCATTTCATAGCTTGCAGGGTGGAAATATGAGAAAAAACACTTGAGTTGCACCCGACATTCACTCAAAATTGCAACTTTTTCGAGTTCCTGTTGAACTCAATGCTCTTTCTCGATTGTGCTGCACTTTCAAATGCTCTCGGGTCTTTTTACTTCTACAACCAATCTATTAATGGTCTACAAATGGAGTACCTACGCCGTCAGGGCTATATTAAAACCTTTAATTACCAAAAGCTATGTTCACCTTAACCGATTACTTCCGGAAATTTCTCATCATATACATGAAGACTTTGAGTTATCCAAGGGTCTCTTCGCAAAGGACGCCTACTAGTGGAATACATATAAGTTGAGAACGAATTTTGCTTTGAAAGAAAATGAAATTATGGTTGATCCATGATTACTCCAGACTGATTACGGTATAAAGGTGAGAACATAAACTGACCGAATGGCAGAAATTTGATTGGGACAAATTTTATCTTAAAGTATCGAAAGTATCGTGGGTAGATATCGCTGGAGCGAGTGCAACTTTACTGGATTTCATCCTTACCCACCGCCCTTAAGTGGTGAAAACTGCACGACTGAATCGATTGATGGGGAGACGTCTGATCCTCTACCGAACTGAAGCGAATGTTTAATGTAAGTGAGGGGAGGAAGCGGCAGGACGTCCTTTCCTGTGAGTTACAAAGGAAATACACAAGTCCCCTTATAATTCATAGTCGAGCCACCATCTAAGACCGTTTGCTCTTCTTCCTACTTCCAGCAAGAGACTTGTAGAGGAATGAAGATGCATCTCATGACTATGTTTCCTAATTTGAAAATCCATACCGCCGCTGAGATGGATCAGCACCATTCTGGTGAATTTTAGCAAAATAGTACACTTCCAAATGGGTGCGAATTTAGCGACACAGCCAGAAAGGTACGTTAGTGTGGGTCAGGCAGCTCTCAAGACAGTTTCCAGTCTAGATGCAATTCAGGCAATTTCCCTTGCTTTGTCAAGGGAGGTGGGGGATGGGAGTAAAGTAAACAATCATTTTTTATTTGATTTGAAAATACGTAAGTTAAGGTGCGGACTACATCAAGTTGTTACGTCGTAGCGATCGAGGGTAGTTGTTTACTTGGCTCTACTTTTTAAAACAGGTGACGTCTGTCAAAGTTCACTGTCTGCACGATATTAATTTTAAACTCATGTCCCTGTAGAGTGCCAATTCGTTTTGTTGAATTGTCCCCATCCTCACAAATTATTAAACTTCACGGCCTCAAACGGGCAATCATGGCAGCTAAGCCGTTCTGTCTAGCAGTAGATCCTTTGAACGGCCAGGGGAGAGGGACCAACAGGAAAATTTCAAAAAACAAAAATCTCGATGGAGACAGGACTTATGATTAGCGGACTTCCGTTAAAAACAGTACCTACTAACAGCTTTAAGAAAAAAGGATCCAAAAGAAAGAGGGTTCCATGCAACAGTCGGCCGATCCTCAAAAGATTTCCACTAAAGGCGAAGATTATTTCAGATTAGGAGTCACAGTTCAGAGCTCAGAAAAACTGAGAAGAAGTGGTCCGGTAGCATTTCATAGGGCGAGGGCAAAGAATAGGGCGAGCACTTGTTCTATGATATATCTTTGCCTACGGAGACTTTTCTTAGATATGAATGCAATTACTTCTGAGGAAAAGCCTCATGCATCCTTTGAGGGGTTTCAGTTCCTCCCAAGACTTTGCCAAACTACTGCTGTGTATGTATCAACGCTTGAATCACGCCCCGTAAGCATGATTTTCGTTGTTTTTACCTACCCCTTGGAACATGGTTGTTTGCAGAAGTGGATCTATTGGAACTCATTGTTAGGCTCTATTCTTAAATTCCGTAGCTGTAAGTTATCCTGCTCTTGAGAGAGAATGGGGGTGGAGAATGGGAGTAAAGTCAACGTTTATTTTTTTTTGTTGGGCGGATGTCGAAAATGCTGATCAGATTAGTCCATCGATGTAGAGAAAACGAGAAAATCTGCAAAATCCCCAAAATGTAAGGCTTCTTATGAACCAATCAGTTTTATGGTTGGACGAGATTATGACGATGATAGGATTGTTTAGACGAGATTTTGGTCGGTAAAAACAATAAGCACGCTTCAGCTGTTTGCTTTACAACCAACACGCTCTATTTCGAGTGATGTCAGTCTCGTGAGATGCAAGCTCGAATTTGTCTTTTTATGGGACTATAGAGCGATGGCAGGCATCGGATTCAGATTTTGAATCCTTACCCTATGTAGACCCTTTTCTAGGCGACAAAGCCTTATGTAGCTTCCTCAGACTCATGGAGTCCTCCCAATAAAAAAACATGTAAACTATTTTTTCTCTTATTTTTCCTTCTGATGCCTGATTTGATCTCCATAGGTACCTCCCGTGGATGTTACAGCCTTCAAAGGCATATATGATAGCTTTCATGAACTCACAGAATCAGGTTGTTAGTCATCAGGTTTTTCAACTTCCCTTATGTGCGGGCTAAATGTCATGAGTCCCTAGCAAAATGTCTACTGTAACAGATCATCTTCTGCCTTAACGTATACATCATAAAAATCATTTACGTGCACGTCATTCAAGGCTATTTCGCCATCAACTTCTGCACAACAGTGAGTTTTGCAAAGAATTCAAATGCATGGCTGAATCGAGAATAAATGATCGACTTCTGACTGAGGTGTGTGATGATAGGCGTATGTCTCATGTGATCGCTCTATAATAGTAACTACATTTATTCCATCAAAAAATCGACAATAGAGGAATGTACATCAAAAATATACAACAACATCGCACATGTTACGTGGAATGGTTAGTCAAGTGATATTGCCTCAAGCAAGAAAAAATCTTACTGTAAAGAGCGTAGTAATGCTTTGAATGGTCAACAAGGTCAAGACTGGAGTCTCTCCTCTTTCAAACTCTACCACNNNCCCCCCCCCCCTTCTCCCCTCCCCTCCCTCTGCGCCATTTATCCAATCTAGGGTCCAACAGCACATAACCTCTAAGCCTACACCATTTCCAGAAGGTATCGGTCAAGCGTCAGAGGAGAGCAAAGGATGGAGATGGGATCGGGAGACTATCAAAACGCATCCGAACTTGACCGTTCCGCTTCTGTCTGGGCCGTTTGTGGATTCTCATAGAAACTATGGCTTCGAAAACGCTATGAACTTCTCATTGCCAGAGACTAACACCAAACCCTCTTCCCCAAGCTAACAAGTGAGGATTGGACGAACGAGCTTGCCCTTGATTTTGGAAAACCGAACAGCGATTAATATATGTCAAAGAAATGAAGTGAATACTGAAAGATCGAAATCTACAGAATAATCAAGTAAACAATTTTGTCAAACCGATCAAAACAGAATTCCAAATGTGGCAACTAGAACTAGTAATGAGAAAAGACCACTGGCATGGTTGCAGAGGTCGTCCTCACAGACGAGGCATTGACCGAAACCACCCTGTTCGGCGCATACCGTAGCCGATGCTTCACAGCGGGATCCCCAATCACCACATGCTCTCACGGTGAAGTTCTCGAAAGCTGAAATGTATCAGTTCCAGGTTTGTTCTGGAAGACAGAAGCAATGTCTCGAACATGGGCTGGCTCTTGCCATTCATTGTACGGACAAATTCACACTCAAGCGCTAGTACAATATGATTCCGAGCTGAAGGCGACTGTGTGGTTCATTCCAGAATTAGATTGATGAATGCGAAAATTTATCTCTTGTCTACCTTTTTGTTTCGGGACTATGTGGAAGCCACTAGATTTAATCGAGTTTCCACTATGAGAATTATTCGTAGCTTGTTTCATCTCATCTGCCCTGCCACCTTACTAATTTAGGCATTCATTGTTGTCAAGCCTAGCTTCTGGGACATTTTGCAATCTCTAGAAACCCGACAATGGTTACTGCCTTTAGATTGGGTTACTTTCATACTGTTGAGGTGTAAGAATAAGAATAAGGTGCAAGAATTCTAACAGTAAGGGAGGCTCTACTTCTTTCTCTTTTATTGGTTGCCCTGCCGTGGTCACTAGCTTTCGGGCTAAAAGATGGGCTAAAATGAACATAGAACTCGTGCTGTAGAAAGAGGCCATGAAAAGACGGATTGCATGGTCACTCATTGAAACGCTGGAACACTCGTTCGAAGAAAACCTTGCTGTCAAGGTGACGAGGAGTAATCGCTGTTGGTTGATGAGCCTCGTATTTCTTCTCAGGCTGGTTTTCTTGGCTCATCACTATTTGCTCATTGTAGTTTCGTTTTTTATTTATTTCTTTATTCTTTTATCTGATCCCACAAACGCATTCTATGTTTAGATACCCCATGCCTCTCCTTTCAAAACGCGTGCATAGGGTACAAAGTAAATGAATAAATGAATCAGAAAATAAAAACATCAACTATTTTTGCTCAAGCAGAGAACGATTTGAGTAGAATTTCAATCAGAAATTTCGTTATTAGCCAGCAATAATCATTAGTCTCAGGCGTTACCGAGCTATACTTGATTGTATTTGAGGTAGCTTAGACAAGACTGTGTCTCCTGTGCTTTTTTGGAAGTAGGAAGTCTATTGGCCGACGTTCCTGCAAGATGACTTTCTTTGAAGCTTCAGCTCAGGTAATGCCACCTCATCTAGGTACCGAACGATATTGAACAGTTGTTTGTGCTTCATTGGAAAAATCTGTGCTCTAGCTGGTACCTTCACTTACCTGGACAAGTGCTGCTTGCAGATCATGCTTGTCGGCTCTTATGACTAGATTGAGCAGACTACCTATGAAACAAAATTTATATACGCTTAGAGGCTTTATCAGTAGCCAGCTAGAAGTGAGAGCTGTTTTCATTTCTCACTGAGCCAGAAGTAATCGAAAATCCCTATTCCCTGACCCAAGAACAAGCTGATCTTCGCCCCACATTAACTATTGTTTGCCTAGCATTGCGAGGGTGCGGTCGTTAGAAGTGGGCTGCATGCTGAGCCTAACCATAAGATGATTGGCTACGGGTGATATTATTACTTCCTGGACACAAGTACGGCCCTTATTTTTGCAAGCCAAGCGTCATGAAAACTCGACTCTCTGTTTTCGTAATGTATAATATTACTACCAGATATACGTAGGAAGTTTAAAGCTAGCTCGACCCATTAACGTCCTGTCAAGCCAGCCAAGTATCCTTCTCTTCGAGATCGGGAAATTGGTACCAGAACCGTCCGAAAGGGTAAAAGCGCTGACTTATTTGTTGGCTGGCTACCATAAGTCATCATATAGACCAAATACGCTTTAAAACGACTCTACGTTTCTGAATAAAGTGTAATGCAAAGGCGCGTTCCGCAAACGAAACTGATCCAAGAGAGTCGGTAGGCTTCGTAGACTTCGGTTTTCATATTCTTACAGATGAATGCATCCAACAGAATGTTTCTGCACAATAGAAATACAATTGTTTATTGAATTGGATAGGTTGGTACACAAAATTGTACCATTGAGAATCATGCAGGGTAAAAGAGGTCCACAGATATCACGCACACCCACACACAGAAACGTAAAAGAGATGCACACGAACACAATTCATATCACAGGTTGCAGTTGTCGGTTTCACATCGGGAACACGATCCTGATCCTCCGCTGAATTTGCAGATTGCTGGCCCAGCCAGGCAACCCATATTCTTATTGGCACATGTTCGTAGAATGAAAGGAGCTGAAGAACAGAATAGAAACTTAATAGGATAGAGAAACAAAACTGAAAAGGGAAACGCATGACCAATCCAGAAAATAAGTGGCTGTGAGCTATTTAAAAGAAACTAAAAAAATATAAGGGGTGGTGAAAATTATCCTGAAAGGAGTAGTTAAGTTAGGTAGTAGATCAGACTAGTTTTCAGGGACTGATCTGGAGGCCGAAATCGTTAGATCTTATCCCACTGGGTTCCTTTGCCGAACCTCCTAGTCAATGCCACGCGGCATAGTTTCTTTACGAAAACAAAGGAAATCGCACTTTACTCGTTTTCTTTAATAGAGAATACAAGAAATTCATTGAAACCCTCCACCTGTAGGTAATTTTGTCCAGAATGAACAGGGAGCGAACCAGTGCCCTGGCACACACGGAGCCAGAGTTCTACCACTGCACCATAACAGCCTTTGTTTCGCAGAAAATGACTCTAAGTAATCTAAGCCAGCAATTCTTCTTGAGCTACAGCCAAGGGACTTGAGTCAGTGAAATCACTTGATGCAATTTATTTGTCGGCTATATAATTGAAAAAAGGTTATGGTTGTTGGGATTTGACCCATGG